TTGTTCAAGTATGCCCAGCTTTACGTATGATTTAGATCATTCTCTAAAACTGTCCTTTCCTTACTGTATTTACCATTCACCAATTTTAATGTCATCGGCAAATGTCACCAGTAATGATGTTATATTTTCTTCCAAATCACTGAAAAAGATACTGAATAGCAGTGGGATGAGACCAGATCTCTGTGGGACACCACTAGAAACATCTTCACTGGATAATTACTCCCACTTTACATTTTTTTGAGAATTTATCAAGTAGGCAATTTTTAATTGATTTAATATGGGATGCATTTATTTTATGTAGTGCTATTTTTAAATCAAAATATTATAGGAGATTTAGTCAAATATCTTGCAGAAGTTCATGCATTTTATAACATGTAAATACAGCCATATTTCTCAACCTCATCTGTAATCTCATCAACTATATCAACTATATTTGTTTGACAAGACCTATTTTCCATAAACTACACTGACTGGCATTAGTTATGTTTCCATCATTAAATCTTCACCAGTTACATCCTAGATCAGCTTTTCTGTAAGCTTGTCAAGAATCAATGTCAAGGTAACTCACCCTTAGTTACCTGGGTTTTTCCTTTTTTATCTTTTTAAAATACTAGCAGAACATTGTTTTTTCCCAATCTTCTGGAATTTACCCACTATTATAAGATTTGTAAATATCACTGTCAACAACTTCAGAGAACTCCATAACCAATTCTTTCATAAAAGATTTATCTCAAGATCAAATGTAAATGACAATCCAAGGTACATGATACTAGAGAGTCAGGCTCCTTATATTTGTATATTGCTACACATTCCACATGAGCGTGGTTTAAATTACCTATAACTTACAAATTTACAGTAACCCCCAAAAACCCAAAACAAAAACAAGCACCAAAAGCAATCATAAATGCCTTACACTGGAAAAAAATGCCTTACAGTGGGAGATTTAATGAGTTCAGTTTCTTTAGTTTATGAAAAGGAAGATTGAAACATGACTTGATCTCTAAGGTACCTAAAATACTTTGGGTGTCTTGCTCTTTATTATTCATCAAGCATCAGGTTTCCACATGTGATGGGGAAAAGTTGTTAAAGCACATACTTGTTCCTGCTCCTGGTCTTGGTTCATACAGATTCTAATACAGAAAATGGGTATAGAGAATAACACTTGTGTGCATGCAGGCATTCAAATTGTTCAAAGTGCATTTGTAAATATTTGAATGTATAATTTTTCAGATGCAAGAGCAGAGGTCATGGACTGAAAATTGGGCCCTTATAGTTGGCTCTCAGCATATGAAATTGCTTATTGATATCAGTATGCATGTGATGACAAAAAAGTATGAACACTGACAAAAATCATTAAGGAATTTAATATATGCTTTCTGTAGCTACACAATTGAGAGATTGAAGTGTAATTTTTTTCACATTCTTCTCACTAATCAAGCATTACATGCTCAGAAAGAAAGATTAAAGTGTGTTTCAGATATCACTTACCTTTTTTCAAATACAAATTATTTTGTTAAATAAGGGCCATATAATCCTGCTGGTTTATAATAATGTATGTAGGAGAGACTATGTCCTGAAGGCTTTTTAAAACCAAAATCCTAGCCATCCCTGCCACCCTAACTCAAATGAAATCCCCTAGGCTGAATGAGAAATGAATGTGGTATCATCAAAGGTATCAACCTCTGTGTTTGATCCCTCATATGTAAATGTAACCCCTGTTCTATTGCCAGGCTTAATAAAAGCACTATGTTGTGTTCTTCTATTATAGGATTATCAAAAAGTGGTTGTACACTGTAGAGCTAGCAGAAATAAAACCCAAAATAAAATATTCACCCGCACTTTAGTAGAATATCCATATGTTACTATTTCAAAAATATTTGGTTCTTGCCTTAATCAAACTTATATGTATATTTAGCTAACATTATTTATTATAATAATTTCTATTTATCAGAACAACATTGTATGCTTATTATGTTGAATGACCTTGTACACTGTAGAGCTAGCAGAAATAAAACCCAAAATAAAATATTCACCCGCACTTTAGTAGAATATCCATATGTTACTATTTCAAAAATATTTGGTTCTTGCCTTAATCAAACTTATATGTATATTTAGCTAACATTATTTATTATAATAATTTCTATTTATCAGAACAACATTGTATGCTTATTATGTTGAATGACCTACACTCTTAAAAGAAAGCCATAGAAAACACAAGGAGCAGTCCTGTGCTGTGTAATGCTAATTTTCTTTTCTAGTTATACCTCTATTCCACAGCAAATACATACCTTCCTCTGTTATAAAATCTTCAAATCACCCAACCTGCAATGATCTACAATTGTGGATTTCCAGTCAGATTTCTTTTTCTTGAAGACTGATTTTAAATTGAATAATCAGATAATAGCTAAATTAGCTCTAATATCTGATCAAGCCACTTTGTCAGACTCTTTCAGTATCCTGTATCTGTCTAGTCTTGATCTCGCAAGGCTGTCACAAACAGCTGACAATGAAATATAACCAACCAGTGTAATAATTATAAGTTCATTTCCATATGATTTCCAACAGAATTCAGCACAGACTTAATTATACTCCATGAAGATGACAGTAAAACTCATATTCCCAGCTTTAGAGCTTTGGAAACTCTCACACTTCAGATTTGCTTGAAAAATAGAACACAAGTCATCAGTGCCACACTGGTGTGCGTGCAATTTAGTACTAAGCCAGAGGATTCTTTTTTCAAATGGCCAGATTTGTGCTGTGATTTCTAAGCATTTTTTCTCAATTGCATAGGAATAAAGTTACAGAGCCAAATTAATTCCTGGCATAACTGGCTTCTGTCTGTGTAAAGTCTCTGGTGTTGGAAAGTTAACTACACTGGTTATGTAAGGAGCGTGACCAAAGCAAGTTGGGGATGCACCAGTTCAATGCACATTCACAGCACCATCTACCATATAGGTTTCTGTGGAGCTCTGACCATAGCTCAAAGCTCCCCCTGTCTTTGGTAAATAGCAAATTCCCAACAGAGCACTGGGGACTTTACTGCTGCAAAGGGATGCAGCTTGCACCTTGCTACACCAATGAGGATCCATAAAATTAATAGCAGCACATTTGTAGATAGTGTATAGGAGGGGGGGAAAGTGGCCAATATCACACAGTGCATATATAATAGGACAAATCCCATTCTTATAGAAGTCAGTGCCATATCTATCACCATTGAGTTTAACTTACTGTAGGATCAGGCCCAAAGTGATAAAAGAAGCCCATCATTCTGCAATGAAACTTAAACACTATAAACAAAACAACCTGCGAGTACACCTAGAATACATAAACAGAGTCATAAGAAAAGTGAAGAGCTTGAAAACCCATTCTGAACAGATAAGAAATTTCTATGACAACCCAGTAACTGTAAATGGCAACTTAAATAATAGTGAACAAACAACTTGGAAGAATCAGAGCTGTGAAAATGAAATGAATATAGCTGATTTCAGGAGATAGGATAAGAGTAATTGTAATACCCATCTGGAGACATTTCTCTGTGCTTCCACACAGCTTATTTTTGCACAGCAAAACCTCAGTGGTTTCTGCAGGAGAGCAGGTGAGATTTGGACTTAGATATCATATTCAGGTCCTTCCCACATTATTACAGAATTCATTTTTTCTTATTAAAATTGCTTTTATTACCATATAAACTGTGGATCTCATTCATTTCTCCTTTATCTCGTGCTTCCAAACCTAACATTTTCCATAGGCTGTTCAAAGCTTTTTTATACCAGTCCCCCTACTTGGAAACCTATGAAGAGAGGAAATACTAGGGGAGTCCAAGGGCTCCCCCTCTCTCTGTATCTCCTTTTTCCCGGTGCACTTTCTTGAGAAAGGCACAGTATGCCTGTGTTGTGGAATTGCAGATGAAGTCGGCATACCTTTACATTGAAAATAATACCTACAATGGGATTTCTATCTTTCTGCCATGAGAGAGGGAAATAAATCTTGTTCAAAACACACTCTCAAAATCCAGCGACCTCAGCTGCCCTACAGCTTGTCAAGAATAAAAAGACTTCATCCTGTCATCCTATGATATCACTGAAAGGAGAAAGGTTTCCTGGTAACTACAGAGAAATTCACACTATGGACTAACCTTCAACAGGTTACAATAATACTGCAAATAACCCCCAATAGCCAATCTTTCGTGTTCTAAGTGACCACTACACAGCATCCCCAGGTTTCCCGTACCGTTGTTATGACCTTTGGTCTACTAGAGGGCGGATTTTTGCTGATGGTTTCAACAGACTTCTTAATATGCCAGCCGTCTCCAAATGGATGTTCTGCGTTGGATGTTACATGGTTTAGTTTTACAATTTCCTCTCTGATGTATTTAACAATTTCTGCTCATTGGGGCTGGTGTTTTTAAGACACACATTTGTTTTTTATGAGGATGCAAAGGGAAACAACAAGCTTTACTCTAGCATGTGTTCAGTGCATTGCAGACAGTCATAGTGTAGACAAGGTCTGATACAGCTAGGCAATCTAAGTTGTTAACGCAGTTAAGCCTTTTCATGTATTAGTCTGATCTGCCTGCTTCTCTCCTTCCATGGAGTGACTTTAACTCCGGGCACAGTTGCCGCATGGAAGTTTTGCCTTGACACCCGTACACACACATACACATACACACATAGTGCCATCTCTGCGGGGAGGCTTATTAACCATTGATCGTCAGTGTTAATCTCCCTCAGGGATGCGCGTTTCTCTATGAGCCCCCTAACACCTTCACCGCAGGCGGGATATTAACCCTGGCGTATCGATTCCCAGGGCAGGTGAGTTTCTCCGGGCTTCTTCTCACTGCCAAGAGGCTGTTTGTTGATTAACGCTCGGCGGCCGGCGCTGGTGAAGGGGATCAGCACGACCATCCCCCTGTGTGCCCGAATGCGGACCCCGAGAGGCGGGGGCCCGCAGGCATGAGCCTCTTCCCCGCGCCCGCAGCACCGCCGGGGCCCCTGACTCACCCGAGGTGAGCTGCATCCAGGCGCAGATCTTGTAGACGGTGGCCGTGTTGCAGAAGAAGAAGAGGATGAAGCAGACGATGCAGGCGATGATGAGCGTCATAGAGAGCCCGATGAAGAAGGAGGCGGCTTTGAAGGCTCCGGCGGGCAGGCTGGAGAAGGCTGTGAAGCTCATAGAGAGCCCGATGAAGAAGGAGGCGGCTTTGAAGGCTCCGGCGGGCAGGCTGGAGAAGTCTGTGAAGCTGCCCCGGCAGGTGAGTTCCCGGGAGAAGCCGTTGCCGATGCAGTAGTGGAAGAGCCCGAAGTAGCCCGCCTGCGGGGTGTCCACGCCGTCGCCGATCCAGTAGGGCTGGATGAAGCACACCACGTTGACGATGGCAAAGCAGATGGTGAAGATGGCCCAGAGCACGCCGATGGCCCGCGAGTTCCGCACGTAGTTGGTGTGATAGAGCTTGGCCGCCTCCTGTGCCGG